AGTCCCGAAAGTCTCGTGCTCGATGTGCTGTTGCTACTGCCGCTGCTGCTGCTGCTGCTCGTCCGTCCCATTCCTCTCCATTGGGCTTCGGGTGTGGCAATGTTGCCGTATGCCCCTCCTGGGCTGGGCTCCGAGGGGCTCGGGGACTCGCTGGCCCACCGAGAGGAAGTGTCGGCGGCGACGCGATCTCGGCATCGATCAACTCTTCCTCCGCGACGTCTGATCTCGATCTCCCCGCCAGACCTCGCGCGCGTGGCGTGGCAGTAGCCGCCGCGGTTGAAATGAAAGTCGCGGCTGGCGTCCGCGATCGAGCACATCGCCGGCAAGAGCTTCCTCGCGTGCGCCGCGTTGACTTTGGCGCTCCTCCCTGGACCTCCCGCCCTCAAGTCGCGCCGTCGTCGTCCGAGATTTGGAAGGCGTCGGGCTTCGCGATCTCCCGGCCCCGAACGCTTGAATTCCCGCGGTGCTGCGGCTTCTCCCGCGTTGCCACTTGCGGGGGGCGCTCGGGGGGCGCGCCGTGATCTCTGCGCCGCCATGCAGGCCCATCGTAACGTGCTTCGTCGTCGTCTGGGCGTTGACCGCGCCGCCCCCAGCCGCGCCGCCCCTCGCCTCGAAAGCCTGGCGCAGCTCCGCGCGCCCGTAGTCCTGGCCCCTAAGCGGGCCGATGCTCTGGCTAAGCGCCCGCGTCTGCACCTCGATCGCCGCGATGTCCAACTTCTGCCTCGTCCATTCCGTGCTTGCGTCGTCTCCTCCTGTGCTATCCTTTCCTGTGCCTTTTCCTCTTCGCCCTTTCCCCCTCCCTTTCTTCTCCTCTCATTTTCCTCCTCCTCGTCCTTCTCCGGCGCTCGCCGGCGGTGGCTTCCTCTCCGCAATCCACGGGCAATGTGCTCTCTTGTTGCTAGCTCTGACGCAGTAGTGGCAATCTCCGGCGAACTTGATCTTGTGGCCGCCCGTCACCTGGCCATTCTGACTAGCTTTGCCGCCGGCTTCCAGCCGATACCTCCGCCGAACTGCTGGGGGCGGGGCGCTGCTCGACTCCGAGTTGCTTGTGGGCCCCTTACTTCATATCGATGATGTGCCCGCGCGGTACGCGTCGAGAACGAGGTGGTCGATGCCTGTTGAGGGTGAAGTCGAGGTGCGCCTGCTGCGGGGCCATCTTGCGAGATGTGAACTTCGCTTTGAACTCCGCCGCAATGGGCCTCCACAGTTATAGACTTCCCACGAGCTCGACGGCCCCCGGCTTCTCCGTCGCGTTCTCCGTGAGCAACATCGTCAATATGACGAAATTAGGATGAAGTACAAGAATGAGTCCAGGTGGTCGTCGCCCAGGTCCAGGTCCACCTCGTCGAGGCTCTCGTTGAACTTCCCGGATGACGGCCGTGCACCGCTCCGAAGTAAACCCGCGTGATCAGGGGCGGCGTCGGCAGGTCCGCTTCTTCCCCGCTGACCTCTCATGGCTTGTTGATAATCTTGGTGTTCGCGCTTCTGGGGTCTAGCGAAGTGTTTCTCGCCCGACCTACGACCTCGTTTTGCTTGGCGTCGTCGGCTTCCTGTTCTTGCCTTGTCGTCCTCGTTCTTCTTGAGCTGCTCCTTCAGCTGCGTGTTCTCGCCCTCCGAGCGCTTTTTTTGTTTGTTTGTTTTTGTTTTGTTTTCTGCCGCTGCTTTGAATTGTTCCTCCGTTGCGGAACTCGTCGATGTCGGCGTCGATCTCCTTCCTCGGGCGCTTCGGGCTTACGGCCTCGGCTCGCGTGGCTGGCTGCCCGTCCGCGGCCTCTGCCCCAGGCGCCGAGCCTGGTAGTTGTCGGCTGGGCCTGGCCAGTCCTCCTGCCTATGCGCGGAAAAACCAAGCCGAACCCGAGACCGCGGAAATGCCCGCTTGTCCAGGATCTGACCAAGCTCCACAACCATGTTGAAGGCGCGACTATTCCCGTCCTCGCGTCTTGAGCCAGAGTGGTTCCGGTAGTTGTGAGTTCCCGCGTCTCGCGCTGCATTCCACAACCAACTGCTATGCTGCGTCGTGGGGTTGACGCCCGTGCAACGGTGCATGCCCCCGCCCTTCCCAGGGCAGGGGTTTAACTCGAGCAAGACAAATAAGAAATAATAGTTCTCTAGTCGCGACAGTCTGGTGATTGAGTCGCCAGGCGGGCCTGAACCTCGCGCGCCCGTGCCGTCGAGGCATCTTCGTGAGTCCGCCAGTGCGCATGGCCCGCCGCCGCCCGCGAGGTCTGGGCCTCAGATGCCGGAGGGGCGTGGTTGTCAACCGAGGCGATGCCTGGCCGCGCAATCTGGGTCCTTGGAGAACGCGGCTCAATCGCGGATTGCTCGAGCGCGGAGACGCCATCGGATCGCTCGGGGATGGTCGTGTCGCGGGGGCCTTTGAGACGCTGGATGACGATGTGTTCGGCTGGGCAAAGCTTGCCGTGCAAGTCGTGTTGGGCGTCGCGGGTCTCGGGGCGCGGCGCGGCTGCTTGGGGTGCAGCCGTGCCCCGATGCTCTTGTGCGTATCCGTGGATGGCAGCAGGTGCTGTGCCGGGCGTGGCCGGCGCGAGCGCCCGTGCCTCGTCGCGGAGAAGTCGAGCTCGTGAACCGCTCTGATCTCTGACCGCGGAGCGGTTCGCCTCGAGGTGCTGGGCGTCGAACATGGTGGAGGTGATGTCGACGCGATCCTGGCCTTGCAGAAATTGTGACTCGTCGACTCGGGCTGTCGCCTGAGCGGCGCCCTGGCGGTCGAGTTGAATAGCTCCGCCGATCTCCTGGCAACCTGTCATCCGATCCGATCGCAGGAAGGCCGCGTCTGAAGCGGCGGAGGCGATGGATCTTTGTGCAACTGCCGTGCAGCGGATGTTTCAACCTGGTCTCTGAGCTCGGTCGCTTGCTGCTGTGGCAGAGCTGACAAGGGTGTTAGGGCGCCCGTCGTGCGGCCTCTCTGGGAAGGGGGCTGCGGGTATGAGCGTCCTGCGTGGCCATGCCAGAACGATCGATCTGTCGGGCTCCACGGCGTGGGAGCGCGGGGCTGACGAGGCGATGTCGAGAGATGAAAGTGGCGCGCATATGGGCGAGGCCACGATCGGAAACCGTGCGCCGAGGCCCGATTGCACGAACCTGCCCCGCCGCGCGAGGTGGGTGATCCGCGCGCTCGGGGGCGGGATCGCTGCATGCCTGCTCAAGGGAACCACGAAGACCCAACGTATCCGTGAAACCTGCAAGACTCGTTTTGAAATGTTGGTTTTTGTTTTCGGTGCTTGCGTGGTGGGCGCTGCTTCAATGCTGGCATGAAGTATTCGGCCCAGACGCAGGGGTGGCTGGAATCCGGCAATACCCTTACAGCATTGAAGTGCTCGTTTTCTGACGCGTGCCCGAACCGTCGAGCACTTCGATTCTGAACAGCGTTTCAATATATTTTTGACGAAGCTAGTGGGGCGACGGGGGGCCCGTGGGTGCAGTGCCCGCCATAGGGAGGGCGCTTGCAGGGATTCCCCCCCGCGAGCTGTGAGTGAGCGGTGAAGTCGAAGACTCCTGGCGTATGAGCGCCCCTGGCGTTGTGAGGTCCATGGGGGCCACCGTTTGCCGGCGCCGCCCCCCCCCCCCCCCGCGCAAGCGGCGAGCATCCTGTGAATGAATCTGTCCGCGCATGCTGCCGCTTGCAAGGCGGGGCCCCCGCAAGCGCTGAACGAAGCGAGTCGGGAGCTCCATGGTCAATGGTTCCTACTGAGGAGGTGGCGTGTATGCTCGAATCGCCAGGTAACGGTCAGATCGATCAAATCCTCATGCACGTCGAAAATGTCGGGAGGAATTGGTGCAATGGCGGCGTTAGGTCTGCCCAAATCCATGATGTCTTCGTGATTGCGTGCGAAAGCCCGCGTAGCCGGGGAATCGCCACCATCAGCCGCAGAAGGTGGCGCACCCGCACGAGCCAGGGTTGTCGCCATGTGGGCCGAGCTGGTGACCCGCCGCGCGAGGCCTGGCACGCACGAAGGATTGTACAATAAGAAGCCGATTGCCCATGTGAGGGAAGGCTTGGCCGAACGGCCGACCCCCTCCGAGCATCCGTCGGTAAAGGCGGTAACGATGAGGCAAAGACTATGATGCAGATTTTGCCCTTCCCCGGTGTCGAGGAGCCAACGTGTACTTGCCAATACCTGTGAGGCAGAAGGAGCAGCGGGCACAGTAAAGGAAATTATCGGTAGGGGCTCATTCACAAAAAAATGGGTCTCAATGCGTTCATTCTGCCACCCTGGAAACACGCAAGCTGGAAAACTCGCCTACAAGCTGGCTCTCAAGTTGGCCCAAACCGGTCCACGATGACCAAGCCAACCTAGACGGCCTCAAAACGGCCCAAGACGCCCTCCAGGAGGGCCCGACAAGGCCAACGCCATGAATTTCCCGCAAGATTCGAATCATTTTCGCGTTCTCGCCTGTTCTGGCGCCCGACAACCTAAGACGGCCCCAGGTGCCTCCAAGGCCCAACAACCCCAATGCGGGCCAAGAGGCCCCACGGCGTCCCCATAAACCTCCAAAACGTCCTCTGAAGGCGTCAGAAGTCCCCCCAAAGGCCCCTGATAGGTCCCTCGGAGGCCCGCGAGAGGCTACCAAGAGCCCCCAGGCGGCCTCTCCTTCTCCTTCTCCGCCTCCTCCTCATCCTCCCCCGTTTACTCTTCTTACTCTCTTGTCTTCATCCCCCAAGTGTTCATACACAGGTTTCCACAGAGGCTGGGGCACATGTGATCCAATACCAGTGCTAGACTTTGCGACAACAATTGTGCACACAAGCGCTTCCGAAAAGATGGGACGGCGGCGGTTCGACGAACACGTCTTCACTAATATTGTTCTCTGCGACATCCAAGATCAACCGTAACGGAATACAAGCACACACAATGATCGTATGCCAGAATGGCATCGCCGTCGTGCATCTGAGAGACTACGGCGGCGCTGATAGCCGCAACTTGGTTAGACTCGCAACTTTCCTCGTCCTTCCGCTTGTCTTCCAAATCGTTCTTTTCCTCCCGCTCCTCCCCCACTTCTTAACACACGGGGCCACGCCTACCAAGCAACAAACTGGCGTACGCGGCGCATCTTGCCGCCTAAGCAAACAAGTTCCACTATATCCGCCGACCCCTTGTGGGTCTTCAGGCGTGTGGAATAATTTCACTCCAGGGTCCCAAGCTGCGCATTTAACCCCTGGCCTAGGATGTCCCCCCTCTGGGCTCATCTGGGGCCTCTTTCCATCTGCCAGGGCGCCAAGACGGGCCAAAACGCATCCAAGACGGCCACGTTCGTTCCAAAATGCGCCCAACACAATTCCGGAACGACTCTCGACACGGCCAAAGCGGCCAATATGGTCTCACGACAACCCAAAAAAGCCCCAGAGAGCCCCTACAACACCGTCAAAAGGGCCCCAGGAGGCCATAACCGCTCTCGCCATCTTCGGCTCCCGACCGCCCAATACAACCCATGAGGCTTCCAAAAACGTCTCACGACGGCCCAAGAGCTCCCTAAACTGGCAACAATTGCATGATTGCCCCCCCCCAAGTTAACGGGCGAAGAACGGTATAACATAAGCTGTTTCGCCGTCGGGGACACCTGCCCCAGCGCTTTCCAGCCGCCCAGGGGTAGGTGTCCCCGACGGCGGAAAGTTTATGTTATACCGTTCTTCGCTCGCTGACCAAGGACTCGCGAACTCTAGACTGGACGTGCGCGGTACCTCGCTCCGCTGAATTTCCCAGGCACTGTCACGAGCATGCTAGAAAGACCTCGTATGCACACCAGATACTGCATGCCAGTTTGGGGACCGCCAACATGTGCGCCACGGTCGCACACACCAAACTAACCGAACAAGTTGGACAGCCTGAACAGACCAAGCACACCACCAAACTGAACACGTCGATCAAACCGAAGAAGTGTTGCAAATTGAAAAAAACGACCGCATACAACAATTCGAACAACGAGAGTACACACAGCACATCGAAGAAACTTAGTTTACGATGCAACTCGAGCACACAGAGCAAGCCGAATGAGTGTGACAATTCACGCAAGCCGAACATACGGGACACATCGAAAACACCGACGAATGGTACACATCTCGAAAACAACCCCACGCATGGGATACAGCGAACGAATCGAACGAGTGGAAGCAACCTAACAAACCGAACACATGCCGGATTTGTGCGTTCCAACCTTTTTGTGCCCTCGGGGGTGCCCGTGGTGGCCCAGGCCGCCTCCAAGACGGCCCTCAGGCGGCCCAAGGGGCCCCAAAGAGACCTCCAAGACGGTCCAAGAGGGCCCCAAGACGGCCCGAGAAGACCCCACGGCTGTCAGGGAGCCCCGAGGCGGCTGCGAGAGGCCCCCGAGGCGGCTTCCGAAATGGCCAGACGGTGCAAGAGCGCCCCAAGACGGCTTCAGGCGTCCCCACGAGGCCCCCAAGAGGCCACCAAGAGGCCCCAAGAGGCCCCTAAGATGTCTCCAAAAGGCCCCCAAGAAGCTCCCAGGGTGCTCCACGACGATCTGACTGATCGTGATCCAGACGTGCACCCTGCGAAGCGAGCAATCCTTCATTGCATGTGCATTCAAGGAGGCGGGATGCGGAGCGGAGGGGCACTCAGAAGGATGACGGGAGAGAAGGGTGGGATCAAAAGGATGAGGCACAGGACAGAGACGAGGAATATGACGAGGAGTTGGTGGATCAGGCGCAGCGACCAGGACGGAGGAGGAGGACGACGAGGAAAACGACGAGGAGGATGATCATGAGGACGAGGAGTGACATGACGAGGACTGGGAGTGGGAGGACGAGGAACAGGGTGGAATATGAGGAGAGCGAGGCGGGATGAGAAGGAGGTTCTGACTTCTTAGGGGCTCCCCCCTCCCCTTCGCCATTCCCTGCACCTCCTTCTCTCCTCCCACCTGCCTCCTCGCTCCCTCCTCCCTCCGCCTCCTCTCCTGCCTCCTTCTCCCTCCTTCTTCCTTCTCATCCTCATCCTGACTGCCCGTTGTTCCCTTCTGGATCCTTCTCTTCCTCCTCCTTCTCCTCCTCGTCATCATTATCGTCGTCCTAAGAGGGGGTGGGGAGAGGAAGCGGAGGAGGGAAGAGCAGGGTCAGGCTGCAGGCACGACAGGTTTAGTGCCCAAGCGCCACGCTAGGAAAAATTAGGAAAACTGGCGCGCAGCCAGGAAGGGGCTCTGGCAATGCGCGCCAGGCCAATCGCCTCCAGTCGAGGGATGCCAGACAGGTATCTGTAGCCCTCGAGCCGAGACCGCCCCCAGGACCAGCAGGACCCGAGGCGCGACGAGTGCTCCCTCTCCTTGCGGCTACACGTAAAGGAGGACCCTGGGCAAGAATGACCTCTGGTGTGCGGCTCTCTGGGGACCGCGGGGGGACCAAATACGAGCGCGCAAGACGCTACTATCGCATCGCGCACGGCGATCGGGGGAACCCAATAAATCGAGTAGGGGATCGACTACAGAATTGATTCACCTCAAAATTGATTTGCTCGTCGACTCGACGAAAAAAACGTCGAATATTTGGTGTATTTCTCATCGATTCAGCGGGCGAATTAACTCTGGGGTGAATCGATTCTGTAGTCGATCCCCTACTCGAGCAGAGGTCACTCCAATGAAGGGTCACTCTTACGTGCAGTCGGTCCTGGCCCCTGGCCAGCAGCCTGGCTCGCCGCGGCCCCCCGCTGGGCCCAGCCCGTCGCGGCCACCCTGGCCGGGCCATCGGCGGCCCTTGCCTTAAGTCGGGCCTGTCCCCCTACAGGGGGATTTTGGAGGAAAAATTAGAAATACTCAAAAAAGAAACCCCCCAAATGCTCAAAAATAGTCAAAACATCGTCCCCAGACAATTTTTGACTATTTTTGAATATTCCCCCTGTAGAGGGACAGGCCCGACTGAACCCTTGCCCGTCACAGCCTCCGGGCCCTACCGCGGCGATAGGGTGTCGGCGTCGGACAGGGCCCACTCCTCGTTGTCGGCCTCCGCGGCCGGGTTCTCGGGAGCCACGGGCAAGCTCTGCGGCCTCCGGGGGTACCGAGGCGCATCCTTGCTCGTCCGCCTCCGCCCCCCCTCCGCCTTTCGCGAGGGGGGCGGGGAGGGGGGGTGGGCGTCCCGCAAACTCCAGCCCCGCTCAGGAGGAGGGGATAATCCCTTCTGGATCTTGCTCCTCTGCGCTGGATGTGCCTCGTCGGCTTCGGCTGCCAGTGCAGGTCTGGGGGGCTGTGGGCGAGGAGGAGGAGGAGGAGGAGGAGGAGGAGGAGGAGGAGGAGGAGGAGGAGGAGGCGGAGGCGGAGGCGGAGGCGGAGGCGGAGGAGGAGGAGGAGGAGAGGAGGAGGAGGAGGAGGAGGAGGAGGAGGAGGAGGAGGAGGAGGAGTGGAAGGGCGCATGGGCACTGCGTTTTTTGTCGCCCCAGCCTTGCCTCCAAGGGAGGCGCACCCGACCTCGCGACTTCGAGCTCCGTTTCGGCTCCGACTCCTGCTGGGCGCCTGGCCGGGGGTCCTCCTCGGGCCTCCTCGCCGCCCGCAGGAACCGGTCCTGGAGCTCGTTGATGCTGAAGGAGCCGGACATGCGCCGCTTGGGTGGGTCGACCAAGGAATCCTGTAAGTCATCATTTCTTTTTGATGAGCCGACAAGCTCTCTGGGCGTGGCACAACCTGGTCGAAAAGGTATCCAACGCCCATGATGCTGTGATTATTTTCGCTATCCTATTTCGTATACGGTTTTTTTTCTCAACGCACACGATCGCCCCACATTGGCTTTCATTGTGCTTTTCAATATCAGGATGTTCTAGGCCTTTCACCGTCGTGCTCCCGCTGCAGAGTTGGCCACGTTTCAGGATCAGCGAATTGCTCCCGTCATTCAGAATGGCGCTCTCGCCACAGCAGAAGCCACATTTCCGGATCCGATTCCTTCCTCGTCGTTGCCGCACCTCTCCTTTCCCCTCCTCCGCCTCCCCCTGGTCCTCATGCGCCTCCCCCTTCCCCTGCTACTCCTGCTGATGCTGCTCCTCCTTCTCCTGCTCATCCTCCTGGTCCTCCTCCTCCTCCCCCTCCTCCTCCCCCTCCTCCTTCTCCTCCTCCTCCTCCTCCTTCCCCTCCTCCTCCTCCTCCTCCTCCTCCCCCTCCTCCTCCCTCCTCCTCCTCCTCCTCCTCCTCCTCCTCATCCATTCCTTTTCCTTACACATATCTTCTCCCTGTCGCACCCAGAAGCCAGTTTTCAGGGCGGCCAGGCGTTTCGCCAGATACTTCCTTACCATTTATGACCCCGAAGCAGAAGCAATGGCAACAGTTTCACGAATGAAGGGCGGCACGTTTTCAAAATGTGCTCTCGCCTTGGCGCCGCGCACATTCGTTTTAACAAATTGCAAGCGTTTCACGGGTTGAGGGCGGCACGTTTTCAAAATGTGGCTCTCGCCCTAGCGCCGCGAACATTCGTTTAAAAAAATTGCGAGGGTTGCACGGACTGAGGGCGGTTCCTTTTCAAAATGTGGCTCTCGCCTTAGCACCGCGCACATTCGTTTTTAAACTTTGCAAGAGCTTCACGGATTCCCATGACCAACGCACCAGAAATGATTTCTTTGTTGGAGCGATTCGGGATTATGAAGGTGCAGAAGTTCAATTGATTCGCGGTGTTGAAGTCCCAAGAATGGCGTTCTGGCACGATCCAGGGTCGTCAAGACGCAACAGTCAGGTTGATCCGTGGCTTGGAATGCCGAGAACAATGTTTTGGCATGCTTCAGGGTCTTCAAACGGTTGTCTTCCAACGAGGCAGTTCCCTCAGTGGCAATGAACCATTGGTGGGGCCTATAAAGAGGGAGCTTGGAGGAAGGGTTTAACTGGTCGTCGTCGTCGTCGTCCTCCTCCTCCTCCTCCCCACCTCCTCCTCCTCCTTCTCCTCCTCCTCCTCTTCGGCCAATGTGCACACCTCCCCTTCTGACTGTGCGTCACACGATGGGGTCGATTGGGGGATCCATGTCCGCTATGAGATCCGCTGGGGGATAGAGAGAATCAGCACGGTAGGAAGGGATGAGTGGGAGGTGTCGGATGACAGATATGGCGCGAGCGCCCCTAGCTTAAGAACAACCCTCTCTCCCCCTACCCCCAAGAGCGTCACCTTTGCGCATCGGCCATCTGGCTCCTTTTGCTGTGCGACTGCTCTCCAAGATGGCCCAACACAGCCCCAAGATGGGCTCCCCAAATGCCCACGATGACTGAAGCTGGCCGCAAATGGCCTCCAACATGGCACCGAGATGGCTTCACGGCGGACGGCGGTCCCGGAGCCTCCCATGGAGACGCCAGAACGGCCACATATGTCAACAACACAACTTCTTCAGTATGTTGACATTGGCTCCCTTGAACGTTCGGCCTCTGATGGGCTTCAGAAGCCTCAAGATGGCCTCAAGATGGAGCAAGAGGGCCTTCGGTCAGAGATGCCCAGGAGCAGCCGAAGAGAGCCCCAATGGCTTCGAAGTGACCCCAAGACAGCCCAGAGTAGAGATCAGTTCTGGCATGTGAACATTCTGATTGGGTGCAATGTTCGTTCTTGACCCTCTTGCTGCATCGATTGGGGTCGATGCTTTGTCGATGATCAGCCTGTGTCGGGTGTAAAGCACATTGCTTTGTGCCGCGTGAGTCGCACCCGTCCGCCACGAGAAGCGCCCCTGCTTGCATCCGCACGAGGCAATCAAACGGACGGGCGAGCTCTCGAACACACCTGCCCATCTAATTGCTTTGCGGCCTCCTAGGGTCCTGCTAGGCCCGCTGCCTTCTTCGCTTCCGCTTGTGTGTCCCCTCTTTGCTTTTGATGCTGCTTGTCTTGCGTCGCGGCGAAAAGTCTGCCGGAAAGTAGTTACTTGTTGTTTTCTCTATCAGCGAAGATCTGCCGTGGGAAGCTGCGCCAGACTTGGGTCTAGGCTGTCAATCGACCGCCGTAAGTGGCAGCGTGGAACGAAGAGGCTCCAAGACAGGAGGGGATGAGAGCGGCGAGGGACAAATGGCGAGGAGAAAATCCACCGGAAGGTCGTGCAACAACGAGGGCAAGTGCACTAGGTGCCCACAAGCGAAACGGGTCCTCTCAAGCGCAACTATCGGCTTGGTTTTAGGTCGGGCATGTCCCCCTACATGCGCATCTTGGACGAAAAACGAAAAATAGCATTGTTTTAAGCAGTAATCGAAAATATGCAACAAATCGTCCCCCGACTATTTTTTTTAAAACCATGTTCGAATATTCCTCCTGTAGAGGGACACGGCCGACTTAAGCCTGGTTTTCAGTCGGGCGTATCCCCCTACAGGAGGATTCTCGACGAAAAATAAAGAATACTCAAAACAATACTCCAGAATGGTCAAAACAGATACTCAACAAAAATAGTTCCCCGACTATTTCTGGACCATTTTCGAGCACTCCTCCTGCAGAGGGACACGCCCGACGTAAGCGCCTGGCTGCTTCGGAGGCCTGCCTGGCCTGCTCCCTCCCGTGTCTCGACCCGCCCCCCTCTGCCCTTCCGTCGCTGCCCCTCAGGCATGCCTCAGGAGACGTCCCGCTCAGAGTTAAGTCGGGCCTGTCCCCCTACAGGGGGAACTTGGACGAACAGTTAAAAACAAAAACAACAAATACCCCCAAATGGCCAGCAGATGCTCAAACCATCGTCCCCAGACTATTTTTTGACTATTTTTGAATATTCCCCCTGTAGAGGGACAGGCCCGACTTAAGCTTAGAGCATCGTGCCCCCTTCGGGGGCAGGAGCCTCCGGGAGTTTACAATCGAACGGGGGCGCTCTCAAACGCGTTAGACTTAGGTCGGGCGTGTCCCCCTACAGGCGGATTTTCGGCGAAAAATAGCACACAGCCAAACAAAAACCCGAGGCAGTCAGACATACTCAAGAAACCGTCCCCAGACCACTCTTTGACCACTTCTGAACAGTCCTCCTGTAGAGGGACAGGCCCGACGCAACGCTAGACCTCTGGGCTGCTGCGTGATCGCCTGCAGGCCCGACTGGGCCGTTCCTCCTCCTCCTTCTCCTCCTCCTTCTCTCCCTCCTCCCTCCTCCCCCGCGCTCCCCGTACCGAGCCCCTCCTCCTCGCCCCCGCTCCGCCTTTCTCCTCCTCCCTCCCCCCCCCTCCCCCCTTCCTCCTCTCCCTTCCTCCTCCCCGGCTGCTGCCCCTGGCTCCGTCGCCCGCCCCTCGGGCGCCTCGCCTCGAGGGCCCCCCGTGCCGCACTGGCGGCCGCGCGGGGCGCTCTGGGAGTCGGCGGAGAGCGGAGGGGGGGAAGCGAGAAGGAGACGGCCTTCCCCAGAAGACTCGGAAGCCCCCCAGCCTTCTGAGAGGCGTCCACAAGCCTTCCCCGAAGACACTGAAAACTCCTCGGAAGGCCGGAGGGCCTCTGAGACGTCCCGCCGCCTCCTGAGAAGGCCGTCTCCTTCTCGGAGTCCCTCTGGCCTTCTCTGGAGGCGGCGGGACGTCTCAGATGCCCGCCGGCCTTCCGAGGAGTTTTCAATGTCTTCAGGGAGGGCTCGTGGACGCCTTTCAGAAGGCTGGGGGGCTTCCGAGTCTTCTGGGGAAGGCCTTCTCCTTCTCGCTTCCCCCCGAGCTCGCCGCCGAGGGAAGGAACCTCAGCTCATGAGATGAACGAGGAGGGGGACGAGGAGGAGGAGGAGGCGGAGGAGGAGGAGGAGGACGAGCAGGAGCAGGAGCAGGCGGAGGAGGCGGAGGAGGAGGAGGAGGAGGAGGAGGAGGAGGAGGAGGAGGAGCAGGAGGAGAGAGGAATCCTGCAAGTTCGCGCCAGAGCACAGCGCCGTCAGCCGCACACAGGCGTCCGGGGACCCCAGGTCGCTGCGGACCCTGTGCCTGGACTTGTTCAGCATTTTCAGGAACCCAGCGGCGTACTTGGTCACCTCGAAGCTGAGGGTGCCTTGCATGAACTTGGTGCTCACGATCTGCTGGAACACAACCGAGTTCAGCATGAGGAGCCTGCAGGGAGTGACGCTGCGCAGGGTGCCCTGGTAGACCCAGTCGGTCCATAGTACCTGCTCCGCAATCCACTGGCCTGGGCGTACATCCTGGATCGCTTCGCCATCGAGCTGGTACTTCAGCAATCCCTTCTCCAGGAAGATCATGTGGGGCGGCTCCGACGGCACCTCATCCACGCTGAAGATGACCTCGTTCTCCGATACGAGAACCGGGAAAACGGCATCGTGGCAGATCCTCTTCATCTCCTGCTACACCCCAGGCCCCCCCCCATTTTTGCATGGCGGGCGTCCCGGGCGACATCAGCGATGGGCACAACAGGCATGCGAGACGATTCGTGCGGGGCCAGAGGGTAGGAGATGGGAGACCAGGGACCAACCCACCAACACGTACCGCCGAGGAGGAGACCCAAAGACTAGACTAGGGAGGAGAGTGGGGGGGGCAGAACAGCACTTGAGCAATCGCTTCAGCGGAGCAGCATCGACGGCAATCCATGCTTTGGGATATGATACCAGATCAAAGTGCGCGCTTCGTGCGCGCTCATGTTCTAGCACGTTCCAGTCTTCTGCGGGCGCACAATGCAACGACAAACGTGGGTGGTGGTGGGGGGAAGATCGAGTAGGACCAACTGGTGAAAGAACTGGCAACAAGGGCAATTGTGTACGCACGGCCTTCGTCCGAACGCTCCACGTGCCGCGTGGTGCCTGCTTTCCAAATGTGCGACCGACCCCGAACAAATAACTCCCGAGCAAACTGAAAGCGGACACGTGGTCTATCGTTGTGCGTATAGCCACTCGCGACACACTGGTCGCCCCATCTCTGTCCATCACAGACAGACTTTGTAGCGCTGCACGTGCGCCCTATCTGCATGAGGGTACCGACTCATCATTCGCGGTGATTCGTCGTCGTCGTCGTCGTCGTCGTCGTCGTCGTCGTCGTCGTCGTCGTCGGAGGAGGAGGAGGAGGAGGAGGAGGGGGAAGGTGGAGGAGGAGGAGGAGGAGGAGGAGGAGGAGGAGGAGGAGGAGGAGGAGGAGGAGGAGAGAGAGAGAGGAAAAAGGAGGAAGTGGGTCGCAGAATATCACATGATATTAACAAACACACGCCGACAGCGGGTCGCGAGCGCGAGACCTCCGCCGGCCTTGAGGCTATGTGCACGACGCATCGTGCTGCCTCGGTGCATTCGCGTGCAGCCTGAAGTCTCCGACGACCACACAGCCGAAAGACGGCGCGCAAGCTAACGTGCATGCACATGCCACAGTCTGGCTGAGGAAAGAAGGGATGCCGACTGAGGAACGAAGCCCTTTTTGGGACCAGAGGAGCCTGTGTGCACGAGGAGGGCTAGCGGCTAGAGGAACAGCCAAGGGAGGACCCAAGGAACATATCGAGTCCCCTCCGCATTAAGCCGCTCTTCATCTCGGCGTCTCGGCTGCAAGTGCCGTTCGCCAGCGGCTGCTCGGCAGGGGGTGCCCGCGAACGAATGTGCTCTCGACCTCGCTCCCAGCCGCCGCTCTTGGGCTTCCTTGGAAGCCAGAACATCACCACCATCACCGAGATCGGCATCTCCTTCCCTCGGTGGAGGCACACCGCCGATAGTGGTGTTGGTGTCAACCTCTAGGCCTGCGACATTAAGGGCCCTCTTGGGCAGTCTCGGGCTGCCTTGGAGATCCCAGCCGCCGCTCTTGGGCCTCCCTTGGCGACGCCCTGCAGCCCCCTGGGGACACGCGACCGGGGACCGGCGCCCGCCCTGTGCCGCGGAGGGGCGCCCGCGTGGCCAGGTGCCGCGGAGACGCGTCGCGCTCGGGGCCGCTGCGGCTGGACCTCGGGCGGAGGACACGCCCAGAGACGCGTGGACCAGAGACGCGTGGACCGAACGCTCCTGCCCGAAAAGCGGGCGCACTTTTCGCGCAAGAGAACCTCTTCGAACAGGAGCCTCGCGCTCCTGGGCGACAGATGGACGGGGCCGGGAGCCGCAGTGCGACAGTCTAGGCCGACCGCCCGGGCAACCACGAGGAAAAGGCTGCTCGAGTGCCCATCTGCCACCATCTGCGCAAGCACGCCCCACGACGCGCCCAGAGGCCTCTGGAGCGGAGCTACTAGACGATCCCCGCTTCGCTCAACTTCGATGAGGGAGCTCAGCGCGGCCCCCCCCCCGCCCCACCAGAGACAAGGTCGGCGCGCCCGGTCCCGGGGAAGGCCTCAAAGGGATCTCGGCGGGGGCCCTCGGGAGGGCCCGCGGCCCTGGAGGCGCCAGCGACGTCCGAGCTTTCGCCGTAGCCTCGGGAGGGTTGTCGGGGGCGGCCAAGAGGGGGTTGACGACTAGGGTTAGGTCGGTCGTGTCATCCTGCGGGGGGGCCTTCGTGCCACTGGGAACATCCACCTGCGGCGGCGCCTTCGGAGCCTCCAGCCTCAGGCGGCGCGAACGAGCAAAAGCGGCCGCGGCGCTGCCCCAACCGATCGAGCACTGAGGAGTGTCGTCCACGCCCACTTCGCCCACTGGATCGCTCTTCCCGTTGAAATGCAGGGAGCTGGCTGGCGTGACCTGGCGGTGAATGGCCGTGTGCTCGTAGCCCCTCCGCTCGCCGGGCGCGGCCACCTTCGGCGCCCCGCGCGGTCTGGGCCGCCGCTCCCAGAGCACCCGCGACGCAGTCGCTGCCCTATCATTCTAGCGGGTGCAACGCCGCTGCAGGCTCGACCCGCGGCCTGCCGCGTGGAGAACTGGGGCGGTTTTGCCGCAGAGAGACATGTTTAAAAAGTGCGCGGCCAGGAGCCAATCGACTCTGTGAGTCCTGGGAAGGGGGGCCTTCGGCCTCCGCGGCGGTCGGGCCTGGGCGGGGCGCTCGCGGCGGTGGAATTCGCGTCGCGCCCGCGGCAGAATGTCGGGCTTGCCCCCGGTGATTTTCGTCGCCCAAATGAAATCTTCCCAGGGGGGCGACCCGAACTGACGTGGAGTTTCTCGATCTCGTGCTGGGCCCCGGAGTCCGCCCCCATCTTCTGCCCGCCGCCGTGACCGAGCCCCCGCTTCCCATCCGAGGCGGGGGCCACGGCCCCGTCGGGCCCGAGGACTTCGTCGTGCCCCAAGGGCCTACGTCCGCGAGTGGAGAAATCAATTCTGCTCCTCGACGGCGTCGGCGCCGCGCCGCCCCGTGCGGCTCCGAGCGCCGGCGCCCCGGGCCAGGCCGAAAGGAATCGATCTCGGCCCTGATTGGCCTCCCCTTCCGCTCCACCGACAACTGCTCGCGCCCGCCTCCGCGCCTCTGCCGTCGGGGCGCGAGAAGTTTCCAGGGGGGGCGAGAGGGCGAGTCGGCTTCTAAGCAACCGCGCCATCTCTGACCTAGAGACCATCTGCGCACTGGCCCAATACAGGGGAGAACACGTCGCCCCCAGGAGAAAAAAAACGTGCGAGTCGACTCCAGGTCCCAAGAAGAGGCGAGCTCATGATGCTCGACAACGAAGCCCCTGCCTCGCCTGAGCTGACGCGAGGACACTTTGGAACGCAAGCGCGCGTGCGCCACTCCCTTCCATTCGATCCACTAAAGGTCGGCTGGGTCCAGTCGGCCTCAACTGCGGGCGAGCATGACTATGCGCTCTACGTGCGCGAGACATGGTGGCGCACGTGGGTGGTCGCCTCTAAGGGCGTCCTATATCTGCGTGGCACCGCGTCTGGCAGGATTGATGAGGCCTGTGAGGCTGGGAGAAGATTTCGAGGAGCACAATGCCTCCGCTCGGCCTCGAGATACCCCGGGACATGGCGGCGCCAATCCCTCGTCTTGCGGGCTCCGGCCCGCCTCCGCGACGCAGTCCCCCGAGCCCCGGTGGCTCCGTCGCTCCTGGATGGGTGGCTCCGTCGCTCCTGAGACCGTCGAGGGCCGCGACGTTCCGTTCGCTGTCTGGCTCCTCCGCTGCGGCCTTCCGGAGCCGCTGCTGAGGTTCTGGGGCCATCTGAGGCCGTGACTCAGAAATCGGGCCCGCCTCTGCAGATGTCTTCTAAGCTAGTCCCTTGATCGTCGGGGGGGGGGCCTATCGCGACGGTGACCTTGAGATCGGGGCCCTGGTTTCGCCGGCGGGGCGACGCTGAGGCGCCCGTGGGCGAGGTGGCGCCAGGGGCCATCGAACGCAGTTGGGGAAAGGCGGTTCGCTCTGATCAGGCAGCTCCCGCGCGGCGACAGAGATCGCGGTGGCGCGGCGCCGCCGCGCGCCAGGGCAACGCCGGCCCAACGTGACGAGCGCCCATTGGCCGCGAATAAAATCCCCGCCCGGCCGGGGGCCGATGGGGGTCTCGTCGAGCGAAACCTCGCGCCTCGATCGACAGTTCCATGTCGCCCTCCCGCGCGCTACCCCCGAGATGGCCCTGGGCTGTCCGGCCCTGGGCTCCTCGGACTCCTCGGAACGGGTCGACCGCTCTTTCCGCCGAGGCCCGTCCAGGATGTCGATTTCTTCTGGTCTAACCTGGGCCAGTCTCCCCGCGCGCATGCGCTCCTCCCCTGCTGGGCCTCTCCTTTCTCGATCTTGCTGACCATCTGGGTGGCGCGCGCTGGGTCCGTGTCCAGGGGGCTCGCTGATGCTCGCGCCGAGCTCGCCACCCCGTGCGTGCGGCCCATCTCCTGGTGCGCCGCCTTCTGCTTGCCCCCGTGGATCTGAAAGCGGATCTGGAGCGCAGTGGGCGGCTCGCCGTCCTCGACGGCGAAAGCGGCAGCGCGGGCGGCGGCGCCGCGGGCGACTCGACTGCCGCCAGGGGCGCCCCCGACGGGGGCGGCGGGTGACCCGCGACGGCGAGCGCCTGTGCGTCTTCCGCTAAGCGCGCTCCCTTGCCCCGCCTGGCGTCGCGCGCGCGCTCGAGTCGCGCTGGTTCCGGGTCGGCGTGCCCCAAGTTGCCCTCTTCGTGCTCATTCGGGCATCTTCCGGCCCGTCCTTGCAAACTCCTCCAGCTGGGTCCGCTTCTCGATATAGGGTTCCGCCTCCTCTGGGGTCTTGCGGCGCAACGTCGGCCGCGTGCTGTCCGTCTGCCCGCTCTGAGTCACCTTCGCCGCGGGCGGAATCTGAGCTACGGCGCCCTTGATGTCGCGCGCGTCGCGCTGCTGCAAGAGCGCTTCCTCCTGGGTCTTCTCTAACTCTTCCCAGCTACCCGCGTCCTCGTCGCCCGTCGGCTCCTCGGTTCGACCCAGCAGGCGTGGCGGGTGGCGAATCGTCTGGTCCGCCTTGTCGTCGCTGACCTTCCATTTGGCCAAGACTGTCCTGGAGGTTCCCGTG